GGCAGAATTTCAATACAGAACTAGTTTTTCTTTATGAAATCAACAGATTTATGAGTGAACTGAGCCTGCTGTCTGATCCGGTGAAGCATGAAATAAAGCCTGAGGGGCTAAGTGGTTGCATCTAAGCTATTTATTCTGTAAATGTGTACCCTCAGGCCCTAGAACACCTGCCAAAGTTTGACACAGTGTTACCAACTTATTGTGGCTAGTGCCAGAGCTGCATTGGAACAAGGTCGTAGACCAAGCGGTGGGCATTGGAGTTCAGGCCCTTAATGGGAGGATCAGTCTTTTCGTTTCTGATTTTCTTCTTCTAATCATTTTCAAAGATTTATTTAGTCACCTATCGTGTTCGCCCTTTCCTTCTTTCTTTTGCATCCTCCACTCAGAGTCTCCCGTGTTGCACGTCATCATCTGTCATATTTGAGGCCTGTGCAGTTGGTGATTCATATGCAGAGCGTCACCACCAGCACACTTTGATTCCCTCCTACTCTCTTTTGCGCACTTTTATTCTTTTTATCCTTCTGTCTTGCCCTTCCCTCTGTCTTTGTTCTCCTGGCTCCTTCTTAGTCTTATATTTCCAGCACTGTCAGTCTCTTCTCCTCAAAGCCTTTGTCACTGCCCATCCATCTCACGAATACTTCCTCCTTCATGTCACACTGTGCTCATTTGCTTAGGATAGCCATAGACAGTTTGTGTAAATGTGCCTCTTCGACCTTTCTGCTATGTCCCATTTATATAACATGGGAAAATGTGAAGTGTCTGTCTTGCAGACAGGCAGCTAATCAACCTGCAGCACAGTCTGCTCGGCATTTCTAATCTCTAATCAATTTTTTTTTTACCCAGCGACACATTTTCTGTGTTGCTATGCCTGCTTTGTTTTCTTGCAGACTGCCACACGGAGAAGAGCATCCAAGGTCAAATCACAGTGCCCTCACACACAAATAGCCTGGCCGTATTTTTATTTTTTTTGGCACAGTGATGGCGTGTCAGCAAAAGTGTACAGGGATAGATGGCTTTGCCTTGAGGGTAAGAGAGGGAGAAAAGAGGTACGGACATAGAGGGGTACTCCCTTCTGGGACTCATTTGATAGCTTTTTCATTTCGTACTTATCCACCGCCACCCCCTTCTTTCTCTCACTGTGCTTCTGTCTATCAGGTGCCATCTGTTTCGGAGTTCAGATGAGGATGTTTGTTGTTGCTGAAACACCTGCTTTACAAACTTAATGAATCTCCTGGCTTGTATAAGGAACAATGAAGCCAATGTCGAGAGGGAATTCAAATTTATTAATTATTATTTTATTTAGCATGGGAAGCTACTTGGCACATATCACATTGTCCTATTTGGCAATCAGATTTGCTTTTATCGGATCATGATAGAAACCAGTTACATGAGGTCTTCATTGATCTTAATTCAGCTGCTGACTTTTCATGTGACTTTGGAGCTGAATATTCTGGGTGTAGATTCTGGGAAGCAGAGCTTATACCCATATTAGATACAACTTTGGGATAATCACATGCTAATGTTTAATCTGAGCGTGCAAACAAAGCATTCAGCTACAGCACTTATGACAACTATGTAATCTAAATAAAAATTTAATAAATTAGTCCACAACTCATTTAAATATATTTCTTTAATTTTAAAATGTAAAGTGGCAACATATTTAATGTTGCATTTGTGATTTTTAAATATATTGTCATAATAACAATGCTATTGACCCATTGCAGGGTTCTGTATACACAGCAGGAAAGAGTGGATCAAGAAGACGTCCGAATAAACAATCAGTGGTTAAAGTTAGAATGTCAAATACTGATTGGTTAATAGTGACAGTCACGATGTGGGTTTTGAACAGCACAAAGAAATACTTTGTGTTGGTCATACATAGTCATGGGGAAAAAATATGTAGACCTTTATCAGAGCAGCCGGGTGCTGCTAATCATTCCACTTGCTTGATTATTAGTGTGACCATAAGAGCAGAAGATTTGGCAGTTTGCTTGTTCTCCCTTAAAACAACAAAGCTACATCTGAACAAACCACGAGACATGTGGAACAATGTCCTTCGGAGAGATAAAACCAAAGTGGAGACGTCCAGCCAGCATCACATTTGTCGAAAACCAAACCACGGCACAAACACCTCGTATTGACTGTAAAGCATGATGGTGGAGGTGTGATGATTTGGGCGGTTTTGCAGCTGCAGGACTTGAGCTTCTTACAGTCTGCAATGCAATAATAAGTATTGTAGCGTCAGATATGAGGTCGTGTGTCCAATAGTTCAAGCTTGGCCCAGACTGGATCATGCAGCAGAGCAATGATCCCAAGCAAAGAAGCCATTAGAAGGAATTGAACATTAATTATTGATCTGCAGAACTCAATTATGCTATTTGGTGGTTAGATGCTGATGGCCCATCACAGCAGAATGAAATCCCAGAAGTGATAGGAATTAGAGCAGGACTGTCTAGACCCTGATGGTATTAAGGGATCACATGGAGGCTTTGGTGGAGGTGGGTTGGACAAAAGAGTCTGCAAGGGAGAATGAAAGACAAACAGTGGGATTTAAAGGATGCAGAGTGAAGGCTGATTGGTTTAAAGAAGGCGAGAAGAAAGATGATTGGGCTACAATCGGCCGTGAGTCCTGCAGCGTGAATAGACTAGCAGCTAAATACCTGGAAAGCAGACAGTTTTTATTATTCTGCGTAAGAGAGGTGCCAATGAATAAAGTGCACTCTAGGCATTATTGTTGAATGTCATTATTTTGCATCCTAGCTTACAAAGGTAAGCTAGGAAGGTACATAAGGCTAAATCGAGGTTAACATTTTCATCAAAGTTTATGTTGTAACTCTTAAGGATTAAATTAATTTCAAACTCAATCACAAAACATTGTTTCCTTCACTAAGTCTGACCTCTTGTTGACTCACTCTTGATCCTGCTGTGCATATAGACCCTTATAAATAAATCTCATTTAATGTAAAGCTTGAGTGTTGTGTGCTTCCCTTTATGCAGAGGTCCCTGTGTCAGCCAAGAAATAGAAATGAGGCAATATTTTGCAACACAAAGTATTATCATCACTGCATGAATGCACCATAAATGTACCAAATTCCATTGCAGTCAATCCAAGACTTGTTGAGACATGTGGGGCTGCATTTCTTGCCGACATCATAGTAGTGCTGCAGATGCTCGTTATTTTTTCTCCTTATGTTTGAGCAGTGAAATACAGGGCAGACATGAAAGGATGAATGACTAAATAACAGTCTCAAAAATGAGCCGTATTTAATTCGATCCGCAAGCAAGTGTAAATAAGAGCAAATGAACTCGACAGCCAATCACTTACCTCTTTTCTGCCCCGCTGTCTCTGATGTTCATCGTTTTCATTTCTTTCATCTTCCTATTCTCGCACACGGTTCTTCGTCACCCTTACACTTCCCAGCCCACGTCTATTTTTTTACACCATAGCCATTTTCGTTTCCTCCACCCTCCTTCACTCATTGTCTCTCCTCTTGTTTCGACTGTGGGCATCCTCTCATAACAGCCACTGTAATAGTTCGGATGTCAAGGAAGTAAACAAGGCCGGCTTTTCTCCTGTAAGTTTCACCATGATTGTCTTTGATCAGTTTGTTAGTAGATTGGTGATGATAGTGGTATCTTTTGTCACTGTGGGAAGCCGTTGAGCCAGGACAGACTAGACAAGATAGCTTTGATTTAGTTGACTTCTAGAGTATTGACTATAACTTGCTTTAAGTTCTGCTTGTGTCAGCTATGGGAATTATTTTGTCAAGTTTTTCAGAGTAACCATAACTTTGAAATATCGTTACGTAACTATAATTGTTTTGTTGCACCCAGAGAGGTTTAGTCTCCACCAGCTACTGGAGTACATGCTAAATGTTCAACTAAACTTGGCACAAAAGTTTGGCCAATGGTTTCTTTGTTTTAACAACACTTCTTGGCAATAAATGTTATACGGTTGGAAGACCTGTTTATTTCCCCTTAAATGGTGCCACATAAGGAAAATGCATTTGTGGGTTGAGCAGCAGGGTTGAGTATGTTGGCTGCGCCCATGAACAACTTACCAAATTAGATATATGCACCCTCAAGGGCTTCATGAGGGTAACTGTCCACTGAGGTGGGCCACCGAGAATTGCATTCCCAATGGGACTTTGTTTCATGTCACACTGCAAGTGAGTATGCTAATGCCAGCACATTAGCTAACTGGCAGTATGTACAGCAGCAGCTATGTACAACTGTGTAAGTGAGATGACACCGGGTTCAGAGTTCTGTACTTCTTGTTTCAGCAAAACAATTTAACTGGAAATGGACGTGTGGCTAATGGCACTGACTTTGTGATCTTTTAAAATAACATCTCACTATTTTCTCTACATTGCTAAATATACAATGTTATATAAGGTAAGTGTGCTGGGTTTTTGTTGTTTGTCTGAAGTTTGACTGATGGCACCTTATAGTTGAAACGTTTTTGTCCATTGTTAGTAGACACTGTGAAGTATATTATAAAAAGAGCACCTGTACTGTCTTTTATAAAAGGACTTACTAACCTTCGACAGATGCTTCCTAGGGGTACACTACAGCTCCTGCTGCTGCTCCTGATAACCTCCAAAAACCTGACTTACAGATCATTTGTGCTGATATTACCATCATCCATAATTGGTCAGATATTCTTTGGTTGCTGTGGTCTTTTACTGTTTTATAATCTTTGTTCATCTTCATCTATCCCACGTAGTTCACAGAAAATACTGCCATTTGTTTTTTTTCCTTTGATAAGTCAAAATAAACCCTTAATAAAGCCTGGACTTTACTAGAAAACCTCTAGATTTTTAGTGCTTTTTTTTGCATAAAATGTAACATCGTCCAGAGTGCTTTCAAAATATCGTTGCTAATTTCTTTTGTATATATGGTTGTTGCCGGTGTTGCACCAATATCTTTGCTTATGCCATGATAGTAAACAGTAAAAATGTATTTAGTGAGTACGTTTGGTTTTCATTTTGTCTCTGCAGGTATACTTATACCCTGTGCCCATTCAATCAAGTTACACAAAAGAGCACGGCAGGAGTAGAGGTCTCATTAGGGTAAGTACCTCAATCACTGTTTCTTTTGTGCACACAGTTAAAATCCCAATCACTGACCAGCCGGGGTATGTCTGGGATCAGGTGGGAAAAAATGAAAGTTTATAGAACGACATCTTTCCAAAGCGCTTAGCAGTACTCTCAGTACTGTGGCCTGAGATTCTATAGCAGAGCATAGTCAATATTTTAATATGAAGCCACAAAGCACTTTTAGTACAATTCACATACATTTTCCCTCCCCTGGGCTTTCATCGTGCACTAAAAGCCAAGAAGGGCATTTTGTCTTATTTATACCAATTAGATAAATTCAGTGACAGCATTGTTCATTTCATGATTCGACCTGAAACAAATCCCACCCCTGCACTCCCCAGAAAGCTCTTTAATCATTGTTACAGTGCTCATATGAAGTTACCCTAAGACCAATATTTGCACTATTGATTCTTTTTTATTGTTATTCAATCTCTGTTAGCTTCGTATGACCTTTAATCAGTCACTAACAGATCTTTATTATATTTTTAATACCTTTTGATCAATGACAAAACGGAGCAGCTTTCATAGACTGCTGGGGTTATATTTCCTCAGCCTCCAAGGGTTTCAATTTCATCAAAAGGTTTACATTCTGGTCTTTTACCTTACCCTTGGGGAATGGCTTTGTCAACTGTTGGACACAGGTGTGTATCAAGAAGGCCGTGTGCTATGAAAGAAGCCACTCAGTCCCCACTGAAATGCACCTTTAATTATCATACCCTTTTTATTTTGATTCTTTGGAGATCTATCTGCTGTTAAGCAGTATATACCAGTGAAATATCTACTACTTGATTGTGTTTTTATCTCGTGTGTGACTTTAAACGCTGGCTGTTATTCAGTCATTAGTTTCGCTTCAGCGACCACATCACCTCACCTTTCTCTTCACCGCAACATCTCTGTCACAAACAAGAAGAAAAAAGAAAGCATACATCAAACAGATGCTTTTTTCCTGTTTATTTACTTACTTTTTCTTCTCTTATGAATTTTTGATTTGAGGTGATAATTATGGGATGTCGCCTCACTGTCCTTTTCTACTCTCTCATTAGCCTTGGCTGTCCGTCACCTGACACTTTTATAGGCTGCAATTATAGAAAACCTATTCCATCCACACTGACACCTATGCAAAAAGCTTTTATGATCCACGTCAGCTCCTCCCCTAAGAGGAAGACTGAGTTGCGCTGGTGTTTTTTTCCACTCAGCGGCCACACAGACTTACGACTTGTTTTGCGGACGGATAATAAAAAGGTCTAAAATGGCCGTGGAAAATTTGCGACACGGAGTCAAAACATTTTGTCTGCTTTGAGATGTGATGCCATTAGGGCCCAACTTGAAGTAAGACTCGAGATAATTTAACTGCAATTATTCTTCCGTGCAGATACAGTGTTTTTTTTTTTTCCCCTTTCAGGTGGAAAATTAATTTGAATCTAAAGCAGAGCTGTTTTCTTCTTCTTCTTTTCTTTTTTTCCACCATCAACTCCCACACTATGCTCACTTTTGGAGCGTAAAGTGCAATGCTTCACCATGTTTTTAGCGCAGGAAAGAGGAAGAACAGAATGCTAACTGTGAGTAATGTGACCCCAGCGCTTCTGCCTGCCTGTCACTCATCATGGTATGGAAGGGCAGAAGGACTAAACGAAATCAATGGTCAAACACGCCAAAATCTCTGCCAAACAGGACTCGAGGGACAGATTTCAAATGTATATTTATTTATTTTTTCCCCACATTCCTGCGTTTTTTCACGCTGATGACTAAGACTAAACACAATGTTGGATTTTTCCATAGAAGTCAGAGAAAAATAATAATGCTAGCTTAATATAAGTTGTCATTTTATCACATGTACCTCATTGGTATTTTCTGGGTGTAGGCGGGCAGTGCGGCTCTATATGATGTACTATACTGTTTCCAGAGTGCGTGTAGTGAAGGTGGACTGCTTTCAGCTGAGGCAAGGGGGAGGGGAGGCACATGAATCATAGCTCGCATGGTGGGTATAAAGTTCATTTTTTTATCCAGACAGACCATCAGTCAGGCCTTGCAGGATGTGGCCGGGCCTCCTGATATCAATCTGCATGGAGGCCTCCTCTGTCTCCCCAGAGGGGGTGAGGAGGGAGAGGGGAGTGCTTTGATTTAAACGGCAGCATTTATCACACCTGCTCCAGCATCCTAAAGGACAACCATGTGAGACAGAGAAGAGGTGGCGGTGGTGTCAGAGAAAGAGCATTACCATGCGCGGCCTCCCACTGGAAGCGTGGCTGCCCCGGCGATGACATTGCTAATACTCGCTCGTACGATTTTTTGACTAATTTGGATTAGTCGTGTTACGTTTCCGCGGCATTAAATTGATGGCGCCGCTGCCGAATTTCGATTACGGCTCACGGCCTGCACAGTTTGCGAAGTGTGTCACGGCTCATAAAAGTTGAAATTGTACCCTGAGCCTTAACCTTCCTTCATGCTTGGTTTTGCAGCATAGCTTGGCGTTAGACCATTAACTACACAAATGTTTGCGAGGAACAATAAATCAACCTGGCAACGCTTTCTTTTGCAGCTGCTCGCTCTTATATTGTGGCCACACACTGCCAAAGATTTCATAAGGCACAGCAGTCACTCTGTGCTTCCAATTATCTGTAAACGCAGATATTATACAACACATATTCACCTCTTGAATTCCAATATCTCTGTTTTCCATTTAGCTTTCCTGCCTTTCGGCCTCGGCGTCACAAGCGCTTCCTGAAATGGCTATTGTAACACTAACATCAGCCATGATAATGATAATAGAATAGGAGAAAATGCTTGCATTGCGACAAACACTATCCCAACGTGACAGTGTCGTCCATCTTCATAATGTCCCCGCGGTACCCACCCCGCCCTCCTCCTCAAAGGGCAGACATGCTAGGTACATTGACAAGACAGCAAATGCAGAGCTGCTAAATGCTTCTGGAAAAGTCCAAACAGAGACGCACGCGGGCAGATCTCTTGCTACCTCTGTGCTTATGTGAGGTATTGCAAGCACTGCCGTTACAATTTGTTTGATGGAGAAACACCACATGCAGAGAATTAATACTGTGTTAACAAACAGAACATTGATCATATTGTCACCAGCATGTCACATTAATTTCCAAAAAGCCAATGTGGTATTGAGATCACTCCTTACAACGTGGGAGGAAATTTGGACCGTTCTTCCTTAGAGAACTGCTTCAGTTTAGCCATATTCTTAGTGTGTCTGGTGTGAATGGCTGGATGTCTGGGCTCTGACTGGACCGCTCCAAAACACAGATTTTCTTTGTTGAAAATCATTGTGTGCTAGAGTTGCTTTAATGTTTAAGGTTATTGTCCTGCTGTGTCATCCAGTTAGTGCTGACCCAAGGCCCCAGTCGCACGGGTCACGGGGGGAAATTGCGTATTCCCCAACCAGTTGGCGAGTAGTTGCTGGATAGTGAAATCGATTGCAAAGCGGGTTCTGCACCACAAACCTCTTAGTGATTGCTGTGGTCACTAGCAGATTGCAGAAGTCATCTATACTGAGCACAGAAGATGTGTGGAAGCAGTCTGAGACACTCTCACTCACAGTCACTGAGGCCTAAGTAAACCAGGTAGTTTAGTTTTCCCTCAGTGATCAGGTCAGCAGGTTATCTACCTATATGAAGGTCAGTGGATTGATCTGTCTCCTACAATCCATGTGTCGAAGTATCCGTGGGCAAGATACCGAACCCTGAGTGGACTGAGTACGTTTACCTGAGTGCGTTTGTTGGATAACAGATCAAATAATGTGTGTGATTGGGTGAATCAGACTCGTAGTAGAATGTGCTTTGAGCGCTCAAATTGAGTAGAAAGGTGCTAAATAAGTTCATTTACCATTTTTAAGTCGCTCTGCCCCACTGCCCCAGGCGGTTGCCCCTCCCTGGTTCTACCGGAGGTTAAAAGGGAGTTTTTCCTTCCCACTGTCACCTAGTGTTTGCTTATAAGGGGTCATCTCATTGTTGAGCTTCTGTCTCTCTATGATTGTAGGGTCTTTACCTTACACTATAAAGTGACATGAGGCAATTTTTGTTGTTATTTGACTATATTAAAATTAAAATGGATTGAACAGAATTGATTGTGTTGGGAAACTAGCAGCTTCTTTTGTTGTTTTCTAATTTCATGCTGCTGATAAAACTGGAATCAGGACCAAAGATTCCTTCAAGCTTTAGCCTTTTACTGGATTAAACATATTTAACTTTTAAGAGTTTCCACAAAGTGCTTTGTCAACATTTAAGCAGTTAGCCTAATGTTTAAACCCCCCTGTTTTTCCTTTATATCCACAACAGTTACAGAAAACCCATCTCTGGAAGGTATGCCGTCATCACAATGTCAAGCTGTAATAAATCAGAAATATTTATGAAGGTGCCTTTAAACTCGCACTAGGCTAACCACATGGAAACAGATTGAGCTGTAGTGATACCAACAAACACAAACTAATTTCTTAACATTAAACAATTTGCGCCAAATGCAATAAAAGATTATAAACAATGTAAAAAAAAAAAAAAAACACAAATCCTGTTAAAGATTTGAAATGTGTGGCCACACAAAACCAAAAGAGGAAGAAAATGCATTAAGGGAGTGACGGTGTCTTATTAATAAAGATGCGTTTTCCTGCAGACAGAGGAGGATGGGATGATTTAAATGTATCTGCGAAGGAGGACGGGATCAGTCGAGGGGTCATCCAATGAGTTTTTGTTTTGGGACTCCGGGGAAATCAGGTGGCCACGCAGTCAGGGTCATGGGGGCCAGCGTATGTTGCCCCGCAAAGTTCAAGGAGCTGGGCCTTCTATTGTGCCGGGGTCAGACCGCTCTACACTCATCATCATTGAAAGCACACGAGGAGGGAGGGAACAAAAAAGCATTGCAGGGGCCGGCGAGCAGCTTGCTTGCTCACCCTTTGCCCTTGGAAACACGCTGTGTTTGACAGTCCAAGCTTGGAATGCGCCCAACATCCAAAGCTG